GGGGTAAAAAACTGTTGAAAATATTTTCCGGCATGCTCTTACGTTCTTTCTTTATCAATAGAATAAAAAATTTCAATGAAGCTTCATGTAAAAATATCTAATTATACTTTAATCATGTTTTACTATTTTACTATTAAAAATTAGTGAACTTAATAAATTTTTTTTTGAAGAAAACTTAATAATATTTGTATAATAATATCTGTGAAAAATATAGGTTTTGATTACTAAATCAAACGAAATATAAAATTATCGTTTTTGTAACTAATAGTAGCTATCCTTCTTAATACTAAGACATTTCCATTTTTTTGTAAAATCATTTTCACAAATGTCCCTATTTTCAACCTAACTCTTTTGTAAATGTTTTTCTCTTTTTTTGGTTAACAATATCCTGTTAGCTTTGGAAAACATTTAAACAGATAAATATCTTCAAAGAAAATATAATTAAGAAGAGAAAGTGGTCGGCTAAATTCTCATTATTTAGAAGCATTAACTAATTGATGATTCAAACGAAGAAAACAGGTTTCTCCACATTGGCGTGTTATAAATTGGTTCATTGAAAGGAAAACAAACAAACTATAAATAAATAGAAATGAACATTTCATATTAATTTAACTGAAAAATAGCCGAATAAACTATGATTCACTGCAAAATGAATGAGAGTTTAAAAAGTGCAAAACTATGAAATCCTTCTTTTATTTCCATATTTAGAGGGTTATCAATCACGGTCAACATATAAAAATATGGTAAAAGAAAAGTGAATGATACTTTGATATATTTCAAGATTCTCCGCACGGCACACATCACATGGGACTGGGAAGAAGGAAATACAAACTTTATTCCAACTTGGGGAATGTTTTGACCAATCGACAAATCTTATCTTGTTCATAATAATGATAGTACCTTTTTCTCTCTAATTGTAATTGGTTAAACAATAATCAAAGTGAAGTTACCCAACACGACAATATTTTTTTAATACCCATAGATTTGCTATTTCTACGGCCGCCGTATAAGCAAACCAGTGGATAACTGAAAACAACAAAATGTATACATCAAAATACTACTTAAAATAACATTTCACTAAACTCGACCAATTTACTGAACACTAGACTAAACTTTTTGTATATTAATAATAATTGTAGTGGTGTTGTACATTGAGAAGCAACACAAGTTGGAATATGAGAGTGAAAAAGGGGAAAATGAAAAGACAGAAAAAAGGTGAGGGCTGATAAAGAGAATATATTTGCTCTAAAAAAAGAGATAGAGAATAGCAAATATATTTAACTTGAGTTCTAACTTGAGTTCTAACTTGAGTTCGATTCCTCTTGAGAACACTTTCACCTCCATTTGGCTAGTCGAAGTGGTGTCATGCTTTCGGTCCTTTAGAAAATCCGGTGAGTGGGTTACTTGACGGCTACACTCATCCTGAAAGATTAGTTGGGTGGTAAAAACCCGGACACCTCCCAGTTATAAAAAAAATAAAAAATAATAAGGGAATATATTTGCTCCCAAAAAAGAGAGAGAATAGCAAATATGCATTTATCATTTAAACTAAATTTGTGACCAATGTTGTGTATGGGCGAAATTATAGTTGATTGAATAGCATTTCAATTTAAATTTCAGATGAAAAAAGATGTAGTAAGAGTCATATATCAAGATCATAAAACTTAAGCGTTTTGTACAATTTTGAGTTTGATTTTAGGGAAAGTCACAATATACCGTGTGCCAATGTTATTTTGTAAAATATTTTTAAAACTATTGGCCATTTATTTTATTTTAATTGTAATAGACCAATGTTATTTAAAGTAGAAACAAGACATAAAAAGGCGTAGAGCATTAAGGTCGTTATCAATTTGTAAAACAGAGTAGAAAATTCCAATGGAAACCCAATTTACATCCCCTTCATGACAAAACACTTATTAGGTTCTGATGTGTAAAAATGGTCTTAAAGCCATATTTTGAAAATGACTCAAACGAAAGAAAAAAAAAACTACATTTGAGAAAAATAGAAAAAGAAGAAAATAAATATATTATTTTTTAAAACAAAAGAAACAAGTACAAGATCCATCAAGACAAAGCAAAGCAGAGTCTAAAGATTGAGACAGTCTCTTTCTCTTAGCATCTAAGCAAGCACACACTTTAATAATATTCTCTGTTTCTGTTAATTTAGTGGTAGGGGTAAGAAATTCACTCTTTAGAAATTAATGTCTAAAATTGGTTAAGCATGGAAGTCTTTAACGAGATTTTCCGTGTAATCTTAAACAGGATTTCCCGCGAAAAGTTTTGGTAAAGAAGTTAGGAAAACCAACAAAAAACTTCAACTTACAAGATGATCCGACCCGCGGCTAGCAATGAATCCGACCTGCAAAATGATGACAAACAACAATGGACCGAGCTGCGGAAAATGGGCCGAAGTGCGGACAGTGGACCAAACCGTAAAAAAAAACCCACGACGTGCAGCCGACTTCGTGGAGAGAAAATCTCGAAAAATAAGAAAAATTTCCTTATCCTATTAGCGGAAACCCTAGCCGCGGAATATCTCTATAAATATGTTTGAAAACTCTCATGAAGGGAGATCCGCCGTTTTTACAGAAAAACCATTGTAGCAGCTTCACATAAACAACAATAATAAAAATCATCTTCTCTTCTCTTCTCTCATTATTTACTTTCCGTAATTCACACATTAGAAATCTTCGTTCCTCAAACCCTAAACAAATTATATTGTTCGAGTTTCGACTTCCACGTTAGTTATGAATTTTTTTTTAGTTCGTATCTATTGATTTATCATGCACGTATTGTGTTATTATTGTTTTTGCCATCCGTATCTAAATGAAAATCAAAATAGAATATGCTTGATTAAATTTATACCTTTAAAATACCAACTCACGTACGTAATTTTCAATAGACTGAGAAGTCACAAGTGGGTTCAAGAACTTGTCGAGTTTCTTTCTTTCTTTAGGCATATCAAAAGACTCAGAAGTCACAAGTGGGTTCAAGAAACTTGTCGAGTTTCTTTCTTTCTTTAGGCATATCAAAAGACTCAGAAGTCCTTTCTTTCTTTAGGCATAACAATGACTGAGAAGTGAGAAGTCACACAAGTGGGTTGAAGAATTTGTAGACTTCTTCTTTATCATATGACAAACTCTATGATTTATGAAGAAAGTGGCAAACACTTTTCTGTTTTGACCCAAAAGGACTTTAATTTTCCAAAATACTTTCAATAATTATATATCACATCAGTTTCCAATATGCAAAAAAATTATTGTTTAGAACATTTCTAATCCATCATTCTATTTTACACGTTAAAATGGAGTTAATTTTTTTTCCTGCAATCCACTCTACTTTAAACAGTTAAATGTTATAATTACATGTAGCAGAATAGTTGGTGATACACTGATATACAACATGTTGACAAATAAAAAAAACACTGATATACAACATTAATACATTTTTCTCTTGTCAAATTTTTGTTTTGTTAAAAAATACAAAATATTGATACAATTTTTGTTCTGA